GTATTGTTGGAGTCTTCTTATTTCACACTCTATGCAAACGGTCAGCTCTACTTGCCCACAGTAATGGCAGCATTATAACAGCTTTTCCACTAACATGTATTGTTCCGGCCCAAATAAGAATAGAGTTCTTGAACTAGTAGTGTATCCCAGGCACTGTTATCCTTTTGTTTAATGGGTGCATCTGTGTATTTTGGAGATGGTAAAGTTTTTTTTTTTTTTTTTTAGTAAGTATTTACTGATTATTGAAAAGGTTCAAAGGCAAGGCCACTTTGACTACTATGATTTTAACTTGTCGAAAAAAATACGTAAGAACTGGGCATGGCAGCACACACCTATAATGCCAGCTCAGGAGCCTGAAGCAAGGAGACCACAGGTTTGAGACCTGCCTAGGCAACATAGCAAGACTTTATCTCAAACAAACACACACAAAAATGTGACTGTGTCCCCTGATGCATTCAAAAGAAATAGAAAAAAATTAACTTTCTAGTTACTGTTAAAATTAGTTTGGCCTGGGGCTGGAGAAATGGCTCAGTGGTTAAGACTACTCGCTTCTCTTGCAGAGGACCTGGGTTTGGTTCCCAGCTCACAAATGGTGGCTCAGAACTGCCTTCAACTTTAGTTCCAGAGGAGCCAACTCCCTCTTCCAGCTCCTCAGGCAAAAGACACAGCACAAGTGTGGTACACATACAGTCAAAACATTCATACACGGCTGGGTGGTGGTGGCCCACGCCTTTACTCCCAGCTACCAAGTGAGTTCCAGGATACACGCAAAACTACACAGAGAAACCCTGTCTTGAAAAACCAAACCAAACCAAAACAAAACAAAAAGAAACCATTCATACACATAAAATGAAAACCATGAAAATGTGAATGACGCATTTATTTACTTTATGAATGTCTTGCCTACAGGTAAGTAATGCACCACAGCACGTGTAGTGGTCACGGATATCAGAGGGCGCATTGAATTCCCTGGAGTTATGGATGGGTACGACCATGGAGATGCTGGGAGTCAAGCTGGGGGTCTCTGCAAGAGCAGCAAGTGCCTCTAACCACTGATCCATCATTCCAGTCCCTGAAATGATTTTTAACTAATTTGGTTTAAATATTTCTTAATCATTATTACTGCATTGGAAGAATTTTATCTTATCATTCTTGAATAATGAATTTAATTGTTTAACATTTTTAGAATATATATGTCTGTTGGTATCTTCAAATAATCATAGTTTAGTTCTAGAAATGAAACCCATCTTTTTTGCAAAAGAGAAAATGTAAACTCTGTTGATTTAGTTTGTGTTTTGATATAGCAAAGCGTCTGTGTGCTACCTAACACACCTACCTCAGACTCACTGCACACCTATTGCACACCCATTGCACACTCACTGTGGACCTACTGCACACCCACTGCTCACCACATACACACCCACTGCTCACCACATGCACACCCACTGCACACCCCGCCTCTTGCTGTTCCTCCTGTTTTTAAGAGTCCTCACAGCTCATCCTCACTGCATCTTTTCAGCCTCCTTCCTGTAATATGTGTGACACAGCTCATAGCTCTAATGGTTGTACTAGGAAGAATGCACTCACACAGCCCGATTGTGTGTTTCCCATAGTTTTGGTTCTTTAGTCGGGGACCTTTGGATTCTCTGTAACTACAGGCTGTCTCGTAGACACTTGATAACGTGATCAACAATGCCTGTTTCCTGATGTAGTTGAACAGAATGGGAAGATTTAGGGAAATGGGTAAAAAAAATTTAAAAAAAATAGAGGAACACTTATGGGCATCTATAAACTATAATGTAAAATTTCCACCAAAATTTATAGAAATGCAGATTTTAGAAACAGCATTAATGTAGAAAATGATTTCTTTTTTATATCTACTAGCAAGATATTAGTGATGAAAAGTCTTTAAGTCACCTTACATCTGCGTCAAAGGAATTATTAAAGGATTCTCAGTTCAGTTCGTTGGAGACATGTAAGAGCTATGAAGGAGATCTGCAGTGGTCCATCCTGAAGCCCAGGGAGCCAAAGGAAGACAACGAGGTAGGAGAAGGAGGAAAGAGGGTTTTACATTCACTAAGTGACTCATAAATCAGCTGGCTTCTAGGCGCCACTGTTTCCGTCTGCGAGAATTATTCCATGACACTGAGGTCAGTGTCAAATGGTCTCCTTAGCAGCCACCAAGGCCACAGTACAGACCGTAACCCAGTCGTGTAGAGGAAAGCTCTGTCTAGGCTGGATGTGTAGGTTACTACCCACGACCTAGTCAAGTATGGTAGTGTTCGAAGTCTTGAGAAATAATTTTAGAAAAAAAATCATCATGAAATATGTCTACATTTTGGGAGAACACATTTTTATTTTAACCAAGTGTTTATCTGCACATAGCCTAGAGTCCTTCATGACAGACGCATTTTCTGTGTTCTAAAATATTTATTTTCTTATCTTTGAGCTGTTGTTTTGAAATTTACCTCTAATTATTTTATTAAATAGTGTATTTATTTTCTGATTTTCAGTTTTAAGTGTCTTTGGGTTTCTTGGCATGAAAGATGAGGGTTAAGTCCTCCTTCATCCCCTCACCCCACCAGGTGTAAACTTAACCTTCATTCCCTGCCTCACTGTCTGTCTTAGTACAGTATGTCAAACTTCCATTGACCACTCAGTATTTATGACTGTAAACGCTGTTTTCTGCTGAGCCAAACAGTGTGCTAGGACATTTGGCCTGTATACTTTAAAATAATATTTTTTGTTCTGGAACTCTGGTGCCATGGGATCTACCAGCCTCCCTGACCTTCACAGGCATGCCGTCGACCATGGACTGCAACCCTGAAACCATGGGTCCAAACAGACTTGTCTTCCTCTGGAGTTGTTTCTCTTAGAAGTTTTGTCTGAGTGATGGGACAGTCAGTGATGGATTTGGCTGATCCACAACCCTTCATTTCTCCTTGTTTATTCCACATTCAGTTTACATTCCAGAAGTCCCTCCAGAAGATGCTCTGGTCCCCAGCAGATGGAGGAGGAGTGAGTAGGGCAGGATGTCTAGAGATGCAGTTGCTTCTCACCCTGACTTTGACCCCAGGCTCTTGTTTTCATTCCCTCTTTACTCTCACCCGGAAGAACTTGGTTTCTGAAGTTGGACTCTAAAGTTCCTGAACTTTTATGTTATGTACATTTGGTTGTGTCTCAGTTTTTCCCACCATACACTCAGAAGTCTGTGATCAGTTAGGACCCTGTAAGCAGTTACAAAGTCTGCTTTCCTACACCCAGGATGTAGATGGCATCTTCTCCTCCCCTCCCCTCTTTATCATGTACATATCCTTAAATGTCTTGTGTACTTAAACTTCTGTCCTTACTAGGAGCCAGGAAAAAATGATGCACGTGAGTTTTAAAATGTTCTTGTGTTGGGAAATATAAATAATAGTATTTCTTTGTCTTCTGATATATTCCAGGATGAGATCCCTACTGGAATGCCATGCCTGGAGTCAGTGACCATAGGCGATGATGTTTGGGATGAGAACTGGCTCCCTCTACAGGCTAAAATGGGGAAGGGCGAGGGTCCTGCCTCCCATATGTTAACTTCAAGCCTTGTTGGGAAGAAACAGTATCAGTCCCATGGAGAAATGGCACAAAAGGTTAGGTTCTTCTTCTTCTTTTTTTTTTTTTAAAGAGGTAATAGCCAAAGAGATTAGAGAGTCACGACTACCTTATCTTACCACCTTGCTTCCCCTGACTTGTCTTTTTATTGCCTTTCTGTTCTGCTTTCTCATTGGTTCTAAACCCAACCACATGACATCCTCATCACTACCTGTCTATACAGACCTCCAGGTCTCTATGGTTGGTACTGGGATTAAAGGCTCATGTCACCACACTTGGCTATGTCCTTGACCACACCGAGACTCTGCCTGCCATGTGATCAGATTAAGGGCATGTGCCACCACTACTCTGCTTATGGCTCGCTTTGACCTCTGATCTCCAGGCAATTTTATTTATTAACATACAAATAAAATCACATTTCATCACAAATAAAATATCACCATAGTCTCACTCACAGTTTCAGGGGATTCAGTCCATGGTTGCTTCTCTCATGCCCTTGGGTAAAACATCATGGTGGCAGAGAAATGTAACAGAGGACCTTCTTGATCTCGTGGCAGACAAGAAGTACAAGAGGAAGGGACTAGGGACTGGGTATGATCGTCACAGATCCCCCAGGGTATCAGTTTCTTTTCTGTTGCTATGATAAATATCCTGACGAAAACAGCTTAGATTTTACTTTGGCCTACCAGAGGATCTACAGCTCATCATGGAGGGGAAGGGGTGGCAGCCGGAGAACAGGACAGCCTGCCAGGCAGGAAGCAGAGAGACAACAGAAAGTAGAGCCAGCTTGTCAAACCTCAAAGCCTGTTGTGGTGGTTTGAAAGAAAATGGCCTCCAAAGGGAGTGGCATGGTTAGGAGGCATAGCTTTGTTGGAGTGGGTGTGGCCTTGTTGGAGGAAGTGTGTCACCGTGGAGGTGGGCTTTGAGGTCTCATATATGCTTAAGCCACACCCAGTGTCTCAGACTACTTTATGTTTCCTTCAAGTCAAGATGAAGGACTCTCAACTACTTCTTCAGCACCATGTCTTCCTGCACATCATCATGTCCCACCATGATGGTAATGGACTAAACCTCTGAAACTGTAAGCCACCCCAATTAAATGTTTTCCTTTAAAAGAGTTGCCATGGTCATGGTGTCTCTTCACATCAATAGAAACCCTAACTAGGACACCTATGACATACTTCATCCAGGAAGGGTCGACTTTCTAAAAGTTCCATGACCTTCACAAACAGTGCTATCACCCAGGACCGAGGGTTCAAACACACGAGTCCTTCTCCACACACCGTCTGGTGCTGAGTGTTCCTACACATGCCAGAGCAGCACTCATGTCCAGCGTGGATGAGTGCTGTGTGTGTCAGCTTTTTAAAGCTATAATAAGACGGCAAGAGTTTCAAGAACATGCAACTCAGAAAAAGAAACTGTATGTGCCCAAAGAATAAGTGTGGCAGGGAAGTTCATACCTAGCCAAATTATTGCTTGGCCCATTCCTGGGGTCTCTTTGACCTGAGCCGGACACACTGGAGGACACTGGCATTTCTCCTCTGAATGCAAATCTTGCCGTTTTCATGTACAAAATTTTCCCCAATACTCTTCTTCCTATTTCTGACTTAGGGAACCCAGCTGTGGTTTCCTCTCTCTTTTTTCTCATTACCAAAACTTGAAGCCGTATCTCTGCTGTGGCAATGTCCCAGTGTTGGGAGGTAACATCCAAAGGGCTTCTCTTCAACAGCATCATCCTTTTGTGGTCTTTATCCCTTCTCCTCTTCCTAACTATCCGAAATGTCAGGTAGTACCTCCATATGTCGTGAGAGCTCTGTAAAATGGGAACAGATTTTCCAGTTCCATACTTTATCCAGGTCTGAGGCTGTCTTCCACTGCCTCTGCCGGCCACCGCCACACCTCTCTCCAAAAGGTTAGATTCTTGGGGAAAACAAACAGCAGATCTCTGTTGACAAAGGAAATTTAAACTCAGTAGCCCAGGCTTCCGGAGAGCCTCACATGCTGGAATTCTGAGGGATTTGTCAGGCTATAGTTCAAAAACATACGGGTTTTTGTTTTGTTTGTTTTTGTTTTTTGTTTTTTGTTTTGTTTTGTTTTGTTTTGTTTTGAAGTAGGTAAATACTGTGTGCTCAGGAAACATCCAGTTAAGAGAGTAGTATTAAATCCCACAGTGATGTATTTATTTTTATGAGACCCCGAGTGTTGAAGATTTGCTCCAGACTTTGAGGGAAGAAGTCACCCTGAGAGAGTCCGTACATCCTTTCTGTATTTAAAACACGCCACTCCTTTGCCGTCACCTTATCTCACTCTGAGGTCTCGTGCCTCCGTATCTTGAGTTGTTGTTGTTTTTGTTCTGTGCAGGACTGGTGTTTTCCCGCATCTAAAGATATATGGGATGACTCCTGGCAACCCTTGGGCTTTGCACATGACATGAAGGGAGGAATTCAAACACCTGAAGGGTCCATTGCTCAAGAAAAAAGTATTGGCACAAGCAGAATTAGAAAGGTAAAATCTAATTAGCATATTATGTGACCAGTTACATGATTCGTCACTTTCATTCCTAGAAATTGTGGTTACTGTATGCCTGCTGCATCAGTGTTTGAAGACAGTCACCCACAGACATGCCCCTAGGCCATCTGGTCAAAGCAGGTCTTCAATCAAGGCTTTCTTCAGATGGCGATAGAGCAGTGGTTCTCAACCTTCCTACTGCTGCGACCCTTAATCCAGTTCTCATGTGGGGTGACCACAACCATACAGTTATTTCATTGCTACTCACAGCTGTAAACTTGTTACGGTGATGAATCGTAATGTAAATATCTGTGTTTTCTGATGGTCTGAGGCGACCCCTGTGAAAGGGTCGTTTGGCCTCACAGGTTGAGACCCACTGCTTTAGGCTGTCTGTTGACAAAGCTGACTGGGCCAGTTTGAGCTCACATTCATCTTCGCTCCGTATTCCTCTTTGACACACCAGCCGAAAGCCTGGTCAGTTTGCTCTCCACCTTGGCGTGGCTCAGATTCCATTCTCTGTTTTCTCATCCTTTTCTCTGGGGGGAGAGGGGGCGATGTCTGTCGAGGCCTGGATGTGTTGTCAATTCAGGATCTGCTCTCTCTCTCATTAACCCTAAGACTGAAACTTCTGTTTGGGCCTCACCCCCTTTTCTGATTAGAGAATGCCTTAGTTAAAATGCTGTGGTATCTAGGGGCATGCGTGTTGCAGATTCTGGAAAGGTTCAAACAGTTGACAAGAAAGTATCCAGGCTTGCTTCCTTGTTACCAGAGAGAAGGGCCCACCTTCCTTTCACAGGCTTAGCTGCTAAATTTGGTGCGTGTTATTTTACCTGATTTCCACTGTAGTTGATCACTATTGGCCTCTTGTTCCTTTCTGAATCACGATCTTTCTCTGGAATTCGTGGTATCACTCCTTTTCCTCTCGATAGCGAGTGTAATTTCTAGGCTGGCTGTTCGTAGAGTTGTGTCCTATCCTTTTACTCTTGGCCAGGGTTCTCCCGTATCTTAGGTGGCTAACCTGATAAATGTGTAGTAACTGTCTTGAATATTTTGAGAAACTGCCAGGCTGCACCTTTTGGCATTTTTACCTGCAATTTGAGTACTTTAGTTTGTATTCACATTAGCCATGTTGATGCCTTTCAGTATCACGGAAGATAATGGTCCTGGGTTGTCGTGTGCTGTATGCACTTGAACATGGGCACATGGCAGGAAGGAGGGTCTGACGCCACTGTGTGGTAGCACTCAGTACCAGTTTGCTCATAGAAATATCAATAAAGATTCCCTAAATTGAATTTTGATATTTATTAAAAATATAGAAGAGCTTGCTTTTTCCGAAGTTTTAAATTATGATCTAAGTAAGAAAACAAAGGGTTTGATTCTTATGGGACCGACTGTCGCTTTTCATGCCTTTGCCCCGTTTCCCCTATTTTGCAGCAAGCAGATTTACAGTATCCTTTGGATTCTTCCACACTGCCCAAACTGGAAGAGTTCTACATCTCTCTTATCAAGTCCCAGCAGTCGGCAGAAGGGAGCCAGTCGGAACCTGTCAGCATTCAGACTCAACCCAAGCACAGTCTGCTGTCCCCAGCAGTGCCCAGCTCAGCTCCTTCCAGGGTCGGCTCTCCAGAAACCCACTCTGACTCTGGTAGGTCTGCGTACCCTGGGCATGCTCAGTTGACAGGTTTGCCCTGTTGCTAAAACCTCCATTTCTTTGAGAACATACCTTGAAAGATGGCTAGTGCCAGCATTTGCTCCAAGTTCTCATCTTAGTTTTGAGCTCAATTCTCTTTAACACTTTCTTCCTTGCTTGTAGTTTTGGAGGGACTTTATAGTTTTATAAAGTTTCGAGTACATGGCTCTTTGAGTTTTGGCAAATGTGTTCAGTCATGATATTTCCGTTAGCCTAAAAGGTTTCCTCGTGCCCTTTGCAGTCAGTCCCTACCTCAGCTGGCTGGCCTCTGGCATGCCACTGTGCCGTGTCTAGAGTTACATAGTATATAATTTTCATATCTGACTTCTTTCCTTTGTCATCATATTGTAGAGTTTCGTTTCTGTTGGCTATTCATTTGGAAGTGATTTTTCTAGGGCTTATGTTCACTGCATGCATAGCTTTTTAAACTACCAAAATGTGTTCCAAAGAGGATGTAGTATTCACATGCCTCCCAGTGAAATAGGAAGTTTGCAATTGCTCCACATCCTAACCTCCAGATAGTATTTAAAAAAAATTTTTTTTTTTTTAAGTTTTTTGAGACCGGGTTTCTCTGTGTAGTTTTGGTGCCTGTCCGAGAACTCACTTTGTAGACCAGGCTAGCCTCAAACTCACAGAGATCCACCTGGCTTTGCCTCCTGAGTGCTGGGATTAAAGGTGTGCGCCACCACCACCCAGCTTTTAAAAAATTCCTTTACCTTTGCCAGTACAGTGGAATGTGAAAGGCTATTGCAACCAATTCGGTCATTCTGTTCCCCACAACAGCCAGCTTTCCTGTGCTTAGATGCCATTATATCTTTACATTGACACAGTTCTACTAATAAAATCTTAGAATAGTATGCATTTTCCTATCCCAGCCTGATGTTCTTGTTATATATTTTACTTTTTATATTATGTACCCATAATCAGTTCTTATTTTTCTTTTTATAGTCAGTTTTAAAGAGAAATTTAAAAAAGAAAGCATTTTATTTTATTTACTTACATATTTATCTTTTCCAGTACCCTTTATTTTAAAGTTTAAATGAGAGTTCAACAAATCTTTGCTGTAACGAGTCAAGAAAATAGGGCTGGAGAGTGACTGAATTTTGGTTTGTATGGCATTCACAAGACCCTTAAGTTTGGTCCCTGGCACCCCCAAATATACATATTTCATTTTTGCAGGTGTAAGATCTGTGCTACAGTACAAAAACAGTTGTAGATAAGAGTTAACGAAACTATAAAACCACAGAGCTGGAAGGTTTCAAAACTGAGGCTAGTTTCCTGAGAGTGTTTTCAGACTCGGATTACACATGCACTGGTCACCCACTCTGTAGCTCATTGATAGCTCGATCCCAGCTCTGCTCTCTGGGTAGTGTCTGTCCTGTGTCCCGAGTGCCCAACGTGGACTTTGATCTCAGATACTCTGTTCTTCATCTCCACATTTTTGTTTGGAGTCTTTATTTCCCATCATGCTTACGTTTTTCTTTCCTCTTAACTGTTGAGTATCCCAGCATCTGTTTTAATGTATTTATCTCGTGATTCTTTCTGAAATGTATCTTCTGTGTCCTGTTTGGATCTGTTTGTTCTTTTCTCCTGATTCCAAGTCAGACTCTGCTTCTTTGGATGCCAGACATAGAATCTTAGGTTGTCTGGATTCCTTCCAGAATTCTGTCTGTTTTAGGGAAGGGGGCGTGTGGCAGTTACATTTCTCATCATTGGTTACACACACACACACACACACACACACACACACACACACCCCTCTAGTGTGTTCCCACAGCACTGTTCTCTGCAGAAGCTGTTGTCTGTGTGTTTGCCCAGTTTCCTAATGGCTTAAGGCAGGAGAGTGAATGTTTGATTCTGCTCCACACTGCAGCTCTCTGTGTGACCACGTACCCCCTTTCATGTATTTATCTCCTCTCTAGTGGGCACTACTTAATAATTTTATGGTCAGAATATTACTTCTTAGAACACAGTGTCAAATCTTCTGTGACAGAAACTTATCACAAGTACCAGGGATAATAGATCATGTGTTACGTGCTTAACATACAAAGATAAAAGGGATTGGATTGTACTTATTTTCCTGTGAAGTTATTGAAATGTATGTTTGGAGATGGCTGTGCTAGTCTATCAAGTGTCTGCAGACAGTATAACAGGAGTTTGTGCAGCACAGCAAACTGAGTGCCCTGCACAAACTTAAATCAGTTCACCTGAACTTTTTTAAGCAGGGTTTTTGTTTTTTTAAGACAGAGTCTTCCTTGCTCTGTGGCCCATGCTGGACTGAACCTTACCACCTAGTTCAGGCTGGTCTGGAATTTACTAACCTCCTGATTCTCCCTAGTGCTGACATTACAGGCATGTGCCCAGATGCTCCACTAAAGCAGGACTTTGTGGAATAAAGCCAGGTTATTCCACATGCCCCCAAACATGACAGTTCTCCTCTCACAGTGGGATGCCACCTTGGGTAGCATTGATGTAGAAATCAACTTCTTAAAACTATGAGGGGTAAAGTGTACAGTAGTAAAAGGCTGTGAACATGCAACAATCAAAATTCAATTCAGACATCTTTAAGATTTACTTAATGTAGCCGGAAGGTGGTGGCGCACATCTTTAACCTCAGCATTCAGGAGGCAGAGCCAGGCAGATCTCTGTGAGTTCGAGGCCAGCCTGGTCTATAGAGCGAGATCCAGGACAGGCACTAAAACTATACAGAGAAACCCTGTCTTGACAACAAACAAACAAACAAAAAGATTGACTTAACGTGTATGGGTGTCCTGTCTGCATGTGTATAAGCACACCTTAAGAGGGGATTGGCTCTCGTGGGACTACGGTTGTGGGAGCTGCTGTGTGAGTGCTAAGAATTGAACTCAGGACCCTGGAAGAGCAGCCAGTGCCCTCAGCCATTGAGCCATCATTGCTCCAGCTCCTTGATTCAGACTCTTAGTGAATCCGGGGTGCTTGTGGTGCACCCCACATGCTGCCTCACACCATTTCACTGCAGCCTTTGTTCCCGTGCACGTAAGACGATAGCTCTTCGATGTGCATGCCACACACCACACCGTGCAGTATGCCCTGGCCAACAAATGCTCTCTGAGACACCTGGGCGCAGAATTGAGAGAAGCTTGTTAGAAATCGCAGTGTTTTTATTGTACACGGGCCTCTGCTCATAGAAACTTAATGGTTTACCAGAAGAGGTGAGGGCTAGGAGCTGGGAATGGCTCAGTTAATAGAGAGAGTGCTTGTCTAGTGTGCACAGTGCCCTGGGTTCGAGCTCAGGCACTCCATAAAACTGCACAAACCCACAATCTCAGCATGTGGGAGACAAGGTCAGGAGGATCAGGAGTTCTAGAGTGATTTCCAGAGGCTAGAATGTACTATGTGATACCCTGTATTCAAACAAAAACAAATACAACATCATGGCTTAATTATAGAAAACAAAGGCTTTTATTTACTATTTTCCCACTGTCATTCTTAAGTATCAAATTAGTGTGTCTTTGGATTGGAACATATTAGAATGTTTGAGTTACTGATGAGTTTCATTTTTTAAAAATTGAATGAATTTTGCCTTTAGGATTAAGGTAAGGGCAGAATTTCCAACAATTTCTGAATGGACTAAAACATTCTTATCATTTTTGTAATACATTTTAGTAAACATTGAAGATGTCCTGTGTCCTCGTAGTATCAAATTCTCTGCCAAGATTCAGTCCTTTGTGTAAAAAAATAAGTACATCAGCATGCACATTTGATTTTGTCTTTAATAATCAGTAAAGTTACATGTATACCAAAGATGTTTTAAGAATAAATTTATGCCGGGAGGTGGTGGCACACGTCTTTAATCCCAGCACTTGGGAGGCAGAGGCAGGTGGATCTCTGTGAGTTTAAGGCCAGCCTGGTCTACAGAGTGAATTCCAGGATAGGCTCCAAAGTTATACAGAGAAACCCTGTCTCAAAAAACAAACAAACAAAACAAAACAAAAAAGAAAATAAATTTATTATCAGTAAACATTTGATTTATATGTCTATTTTATGTGGCAGGGCCCTATAAAACACTCAGGCAAAAAGTGGTCTCCAGTGGAAAAGAGCAGCACTGGTCTAGCAAGTCCATTTCAGAGTGTGTGGCACCCCATCCTTGGTTTTTAGAAACTCTGGCTGGAGCGTTAGAGCACCAGCACTTCCATTTTGCTCCTGTGGTTATTTCTAATTACAGAAATCAACACAGAAGGTACTTGTTAGTAGGTGGCCTTGTACAGCTCTGTTCCGACTCTGGCATAGACGTGGAATTAGAACCACTTGGCAATAGGGAATGCCTGTGAAGTATCATTTTGTTTTGTGCTGGGGAAAAAAATAAGGGAGCTCTGGGCTTCTCGCTGGGATTTGAGCTTCATCGGATTCATTTTCGGACATTCCTAAAAGGAAGTCTTCTTTTCCTAGATCATGTCTCTCCCTTTCTTGGCCCTGAGCCTGAGAAGTTTATTTTATGCTAATGCAGGATTCACTTCCTGCCTATCCTTGGCTGTTTTCTGACCAATCAGAAAAGGCTGTATGTAACTCATGTTGGTAACAAACTGGACTGGAGGGGCAAGCAGTGAGTTGGAGAACTTCTTGAAAGGACTCTTGTTTTTCCTTTTTTTCAGTGGAAAGCTCTCCAGGGAGCCTAAAGAGTGAAGATTTTTCTAGTAGCCATGCCGACACGGTGGTGAAGGACGAGAGTCAGGGAGCCATAGACCAGCTCTCTTTGATTTTGTCCCCCCAGCACCAGATGGCTCAGAAGCTCTACATCCCTCGAAGTACAGCCACGGCTGTCTTGGGAGCTGCCGCGCGGTTAGCCACGTCCAGGAGCCTCCTGCACTGGTACCCCAGTGTGAAAGGTTGGAAGCCTGAGGGACAGGAGGCGGCGAAAAAGGAAGTGAAGTAGCCTGTGGGTAGCGATCACGGGGTCTTTCTGCATGACCATATGTTAGCTTTGTTTTGCTAACTGACCACTTTGATGTGTAAGTATTGATATTCTGTGTTAGTTTTAATTTTTGTTCATGATTTTACTTCATTTCAAATGGTTTGGTTCACCTTTGTTTTAATGAAGTAATTTAAAGGAGTTGGTGTATATGTTTCTGTGAGTGTTTTTCTTGTACATATCATGACTGATAAATGAAAATTGGAAAACTAATGTTTTGTGATCTGTCTTTAGCCAGACAACAGTATTTTCACATCTCTATCACACAGTGGCCTGTGCAGGCAAGGATTCTCCTGCCGCAAGCCTGACAGCCGCATCCTGACTCTAAATCCAGAACCACATGGCCAGAGCTGCCAAGTTCTTCTGCTTGTTAGCAGCCTCCTAGAATACATTTGCATAAACTTTGAATGGTTGTTTAAGCCTAGGAAGTCCCTAGCCCCTGGCGGCTGATTTCCCAGGTTGCAGGATTAGCTGCAGGCTTTTCTGAAACATTTTCTCTCCTCGAACACTGGACCTTCTGTATACATTTCCCGCTGCTTTTTCTCCTTAAACTGTACATTTTATGTTTCTCTGACCCACTTGCTCCTTTTCGCCATAGCTCTGCATAAAGGTGATCACTAAGAAAACCACGGCACACAGTCAATACTAGGCTGCCTTAAAATCTCTGCCAACGACATTAATCCAAACTCTTCAGTTTAGTCTCAGGCAGATTCTTAGGACAGAGTAAAAAGCAGCCACATTCTTTCCCAAAATATTACAAGAATGCTTTTTAGACCAGCCACATTACCATATTCTTTCCTTCTGAAACCTCTTGGACCTGGGCCTGCATAGTCCACATCAGCTCAGCACTACTGTCTTCCATGTTCCTGCTAGGATGGCCCATTAAACCCCACTCAGAGTGGTCAACAGCTTTTCTAGTCCAAAGTCTTCCATATTCCATCAGCAAATAGCTTGGTCAGGCCTCTCACAGCAATACCCTAGTCACTGGTACCAGCTTCTGTCTTTGTTGCTGGCTTATTGCTGTGAAGACACACCATGACAAGGCAACTCCCACAGAAGAAACATTGAATTGAGGGCTGGCTTATAGTTTGAGAGGGTTAGCCAATCATCATGATGGCAGGAAGCAGAGGGAGACAGACAGACTGGGCCTGGTGTGGGCTCTTGAAATGTCAAAGCCCACGCCCAGCGACACACCTCCTCCAACAAGACCACCCCTCTGAATCCTTCTCAAACAGTTCTACTCTCTGTTGATTAAGTATTCAAATATATGAGCCTATGGAGCCATTCTCATTCAGACCACACTGAGTTTCTTCCTTACAAACTGCAAGTCTGAGTAATATTCTGCATAGAAGTACTCTATCATAAGAGGAAGGTTGAATGGAAGACCACATTTAGTCGGTGAAACTGTCTGTCTCTATAGTAGCAACCAGCTGCCAGGAAGAGCTCTACCAAAGCTAGACTGCCAGACTTTATAAGTTTGACAACTGGTTTATAAGCTGAAACCAACTATTGCTCCACCTTGCAAGTTAGAATTAGCTGTGCTAAAAATTTGAAGTTCCTCATTATTGCAGCAATTAATGAGGCAATTCCATGTAGTTTTTCTGGTAATTAAAAGAAGTTTATTTCAGGGTAACTTACAACCAATAAAGGGTCGGTTACAGGATCTGACTGAGGTGCAGTCCAGCACAGTTCTCTGGAGAACTCCAACTTGGTCTGCAACCCAGCATCCAGGATCAAGAGAGCCAGCACATGCGCATCTCGGGTCTTAAAGGGTCTCATCTCGATCATGCCCCAAGGGCATGTCATAGGCAGGTGTGGCCATTACCTGCTGCCTCACTAGGGGCAGTGCTTCAAGGTCAAAACTGGAACAGCTACCCACTACACCTCATCCTTTTGGAAATGGCCAGCTGGACGCCTAACACCAGCTCAGACTGGTGATATCAGCACGCTTTGAAAGAAACCCACAGAGAAATGAGTTAGAGGGGAGAATGGACCTTTAGCACGCTGTGCCTTTGGACTACTCGGCTGTGACAAGAACGTCCATATGTCAGTCTCTTCATCTACCTTGTCCCTGCACATGGGCTTTAGGTAGTTAAACGGAGAAGCAAGCTTGGCAGGTCATTTGAAAAAGAACAACTGGGTTTCTGTGTACGGCCAGGGACAACAATAAGAAAATATAAAGAAGCCTGACGAGGTGCCACATGTCTGCAATCCCAACACTTGTGAAGTGAGCCACCCAGAGCAAGACCCTGTCTCTGTGAACAGGTGGGCAGAGGGAGAAAGGGAGGAGACTGAAGATGTGTACAAGAGATGGAGATGTTCCACGATTTACATTCAATTTCATTTTTTATTGTCAACAGATGGGTTGGCATGTATATGGTGAACATTTGTGATATTAAAGGGCTTTTATTAGCAGAATTGGAAGTCCTGATGAGAAGCTGACTAGGAGTCGAAGCTGAGGTGTATAAAAAGGAAACCAGTAAGAACATACAGGAAGTTCCTAGTTCATGACCCCTCAGAGACTCAAGTGGAGTGGCATCTACTAATAGCCAAGGCTACCCTTCTCCCATGTAAAGATAATCCATGGGGTCTTAAGAGATGGACTATGTTAGTCTCGGCTCCAGTCACTGTTTCTCAGGGATGTAAATAGGTTGTTTCATTGTTACAGAGTGGGGAGGTTAAGTTGAGAGTAGGTGGGTGGGACATTTGAGTGTGATTAAAAGGCAAGATCACTTTATATTTCGTACTTCAGACAGTGGGGCTGTGATCAGATACTATGCTTTGCAGAAGTCTCTGCAGCAACTGCTGTGGGTTTTTCTTACCAAATGCTTTAGGTTCAGAAGGTCTCCAGCGAGTTCCGTGATCACTCTCTGTTACTTGTAACTGTACATTGGTTAGAGATGCGTGGGGCTCAGCAAGATCACTTGAGACACTCTCTGACAGAAGTGGTTCAGCTGGATCTCCTCTCCTAGGCACCCACATTCCCCCTACCCCACTCCACACCCTGCCAGACACTTCGCTGAAATATCTTTCTTAGTACCTCTCTACTGAACCAGAAAGAATCCTTATTATTTAAAACATAACAGTGTAAAACCCTGGTGCCTGAGAGGTGACTGATGCAGCTCTTTCTAGCCATCTCCTCTCCAGACTCTTGACTGGGCTCCTGCCCTGCTCTTGGGGCGCTGGCCCCTTCTCTTTGGCTCCTGCCCTTACTCTGCTGCTCTTTCCCTCATTGCCGATGAGCCTGTTGTCTTGGCAACCCTGTTCCCAGCCCTGTGTCAGAGGTTCCCCGCCAGGCTTGGATCTGAGTCCATTGCCCTGGCCTGCCGATCGCTTAGGATGCTAGGGTCAGCTGCAGCCACACGAGGCTCACAAACTCATCTGTTTGCTCTCTCGATCCCATCCCAGAGGAGCAGCTCCAGGAGAGTGACACCTATTCCTGTGACCTTTTGGAGGTCTCTCACTCCTTTTCAAAAGTGACCAGGCCCCTCTCCAGTCCACCTGTTAATATATGCAAACCACTGTCCACATGACACCCAGACTCATTTGAATAACATACTCTTGATACACAGAAACTAGCCCCTGACTCAGAGGTCACCAGCTGACTGCCTGGCATGGTTTGACCCAGTTGCAGCAGGAAGTAGTCGGAGTTGAAGTCAGTACCCATAAATCCTTTGGGCCTTCTTCTAACCGCTGTTCCATAAAGTTTGTTGTTTTTATTTTTAAAGCGAATTTTATTATTTATTCATATGTAGGATCGTAAGATGGTACTCTTTAGAAGGTGGAGTGTGAAAAAATTCAAAGGAGGAAAAAAAGTCTCCAAATCCCACAACTAAGCTGAGCTTATTAGTATCAACCCAGTATCCCATGAGCTTTAACCAACACTAACATTAATTCAACACGTAAGTTTTGGGAGAAGGAAAGTGGCTGAGGCAAGAGGAAGTGTCAGAAGTCGCTCCGGACCAGGTGGGTGACATTGAGAAGAGGCCAATAAGTGTATGCAGGTGAGAGTGGGGGGACCCTCGCATAAGCCACCGTGGCCCCCGGTTAGGCTGAACAAGGAGGCCTGGGGGCCTGTGCTCAGTGCAAAAGTACCTCCCCCCAAAAAGCCAAATAAACAACACTTAGAAAAAAAACTACCGGGAAAAAAAAAAAAAAAAACACCTGAAACAGAAATGGTGGAAATAGAGTACAAATTGTACTGATGAGCCTAGATTGAACAATTGAAAGACCAAGACTGGAAACAAGATTGAAGATACAATACATTCAGATAGCGGTGAAGGAATGAAGTACTTATTGATATATTGCACCACCACAGCAATCTTGAAAACATTATACCAAGTTAAAGAAGCCAGGCACACAGGCTGCACCACGATTCCCGTTGTCCCAGAATAGGAGACTCGGCAGGAATAAGTAGATCAGTGGCTGCTGCGGGCAGAAGGGAGGAGAGACTGGAGGAAGACAGAGCGGCTTTCTTTGGAGGATGACGGAAAACTAGGTTGTTCCGATAGCTGCAAACTCTAAACATTCTATTTTTTAAATTCAGCCAACCATATACTTTCGAAGGATGGATTTCCAGCTGTGAGTTTTAGCTCAGTAAAGCTGGTATAAATACAGAATTCATGTAAACCCCTTGTATGTGGACTGAAGTAAAAGGATGGAAAAACAGCATGCCAAACCAGTGGAGCCCAAACAAGAAGAAATAAAGGTCACTGCATGTCAATAGGGGAAATGATCCCCCACAAAGGCATAGTGCTTGCAAGTACATTTCATAAAACAAACATTATTGGACTTAAAGCACAGTCAGATCAAGAGAGAATAATGGTAGATGACTTAAGTATCCCCATCCTCATCAATAGCTGGATCACCTCTTCCATAACCTTCACTCAAGCAGACGAATTTAATCCAGGATCTGGGTGGTGGGGAGGTCAGCAGCAGAGATGAAAATGCCTGCAAAATGGATGAGAAAATAGCAATAGTCAAGAACATGGAAGAAAGTTCAGCGAGGAAATTAAGATTGGCAGTGGGAGGGGTATAGAAATATTGGAAATGAAAAAACTCACTGAATCAAATTAAAAATACAGTGTAAAGCATCACCAATACTCTCAACCAAACAGAAGATGGAATATAAGAAATGTTGGGGGGTTTTACTCTTGGAGGGCCCACCACCTAGCTCCCAAATAAATCACACACGGGGGGGGGGTATTCTT